TATTGTATTTACAGTAATCGTGTAGTCTAAAGAAAGATTACGATTAACAGACATTAGAATAGACTAGTGTTGGGTTACACATACTATATCCTTCCATCAGTGTGTTTAGCGAGATAAATAAAGAAAAATAGGTTATTCAGTGAGAAGACTGAATCACATAAATATAAGAAATAGAATCTTAACAAAATACTCACCTGATTCGTATAGTCTTTCAGTAAAATACCGACAAATGATCCACTAGGTAATAATACTTTTGAAATCCATGTCTTTACTCCCACCTTCAACTGGTTGCTTTGCAAGCTGCGAAGCTCTCATTCAACACGCCCAAACACATGCCTTCAGTTACGGATATGCAGTATGCATCAAAAAATCTAAATGAGATAAGTTTGTCTATTTGCGCTGTGATAGAGGTGGCACCTACAGAAACACTTTGAATCTTACAGATCAAACTCGTCAAAGAATCACAAGTTTACGATTGATAGACTGTTCTTTTGAACTCTACGGTAAAAAAAAGAAAGATGGTCAGTGACATTTAACAATAAAGAACACCAACCACAATCATGAAGCATCAGAAAACTTATCAGGCCATCCATCAATTCGCAGACTGAATACAGAAGAGCAACAAAAGGTTCAACAAATGTCTACAGCAGGTATTCGTCCTCGAGAGATACTTTCAACTCTTCATCGAAACAATCCAAATCTTGTAGCAATCTCAAAGACCATTTATAATGAACAAGATAAAATTCAACGCAACAATCTTCGGGGTCGTACACCAATTCAGGCTCTTCTTGACAAGCTCGAAGAGAAAAACTTTGAGCATGATTACCAATGTGACCAAAATGGTCATTTAACTCATCTTTTCTTTGCACACCCTATATCAATCATACTTATCAAAGCTTACAACATCATTCTCTTGATGGACTGCACATACAAAACTAACAAGTTTAAAATACCGCTTTTTCATGTTGTTGGCATGACAAGCTTTAATACCACATTCTCCTCCTGCTTTGCATTCTTAAAATCGGAACAAGAAAAAGATTATGAATGGGTCCTCATTCGTGTTGCTCATATTTTTGGAGATATTCCAAAACCTCAGGTTATTATGACTGACCGAGAGCTGGCATTGATGCGTGCAGTGCGAAATATTTTTCCTGAATCACAAAACTTTCTATGCGTCTGGCACATTGAAAAAAATGTGCTGTCCAATTGTCGTCATCACTTTCCTATAGATGAAGAATGGACTGAATTTTTGAGAAGCTGGACCACTATAACAAGATCTAAAACAGAGATAGATTTTAATGAAAAGTAGGAGGAACTGGCAAGAAAATATAGCGAAAAACCATTAATTGTTACATATTTGCAGAATACATAGTTGCCATATAAGAAGCACTTCGTGAGTCTTTGAACAAACCGCTACTTGCATCTGGGTAATGTAACAACATCGCGGGTAGAAGGATACCATGCGATGCTTAAAAAATATCTTCAAGTATCGACAGGTGATCTTTATGTTGTTCATGAGAAAATATCTCTGGCATTGGAGAATCAACACCGAGAAATCCAGACTATGGCTTCTCAAGAGATGATTCGAATTCCTCATGCTCAAAACAAGCCATTTTACTCACAAGTCATTACCAGGATGTCTGTGTTTGCACTGAAAAAAGTGCACGAACAATTCTTGAAAGCGTCCAGTATAACTTCAAAAAATCCATTGCAATCTTGTAGTGATACTTTTATGTCATCGATGGGTCTTCCTTGCTCTCATATAATTCAGGAGCGTTTCATCAATAATCAGTACTTAAAACTTACTGATTTTCATCAACATTAGTGGCTTCAAAGATGCCAATTGCTTCCACAAGTATCAACTGGAACTGAAAATCTTTTGCGACAGCAGTGACAAGAATATAGCCAGCAATTCGACTCTTGGCCAGCTCACCAACAAGCAGCAACCCTAGGTGAAATTTCAAATTTATTTCAAGAGCCAGCTATAATCGTGCAAAATCCGCAGGTGCAACACACAAGGGGATGTCCAGTTGGAACAAGAAATGGTGTTCAATCATCTACTCAAAGAGATCTGTCCATCTTTGAGTTGGCTGAACTGGGAAGACATATTAGAAAATGTGGTCTATGTCACAAAACCAGACATAATAGCCGAACATGCCCTAGTATGGAGAACAGAATGAACCACAGTTAATAAATCATATATATAAGCAGATTTTATATTGCTATAGTAATAAAATAGAAAAATACGTATTTTGGGTATCCTATTAAGACAACGCGTTTTTTCCAAAAATATGTATACGTGTAAATGTGATTGTGCGTGTGTGTATGTGAATTTTTTTTCTCAATGATACTGCACTCAATCTTATTCTCGCAACATCAATTAAAACAAACAATAATGTTAGAATTATACTAAATAAAATGAATGTTTAATTTTCAATTGCTGCATATTTCATCATTCTCTCTCAATTATTGTTGCAATTCTTGTTGCCAGTACCCAGTCTCTCCCCACCAAAACTGCCTGGGAAATGCTCAACAGAGGAAGATATAACAATATTCCCTCCTCCCGGAGCAAAAACAAAAACAAAAACAGGAAAGGACAATATAAAAACAACTCACCTGAACTAAATAAAAAGATTATAGAAACAAAGAATGGCGGTTGGATCAAACACCACAAGAATACGACCGAAAATTTATCTCGGAACCAGAACACCAACATAAACGACAATGAGAAGCAGCAACGAAAGAGAAATGAAAACGGGAAGAAAAAAGCAAAACAAATAATATTCATCCTGGAACAATGACCACAGCAACGCCAATGCCAATGACAAAAATGATAAAAGCAAGGGAAATAGCTAGGAATTACGAAGAGGAAGGAACACCTCTTCAACACCAACGTCAACGGAAAAACACGTCACCCGGACCGACAGCTAGGAATTACGAAGAGGAAGGAACACCTCTTTAACACCAACGCCAACGGAAAAACACGTCACCCGAACTGACAACCCCAACTATAAAACAAGCCTCGAAAATAAAAATAAAATAAACTTACCTAGAGCAGCAAAACCACAACATTC